CAAACTTTTACGCTTCAGCCCCCTTCTAGACGGAGCCGTAAGTTGGCCCAACTATTATATCGCTATGACTTTATTGATGCATGGAGAGAAGCTAATCCTACTTCTCGAGATTATTCCCATTACTCCAGGGCTCATAACAGTTACTCCCGCATTGATCATATATTTCTTCATACAAATTCACTCCCCAGACTTCTTACTGCTAAAATTTTCTCTACGCCCTGGTCTGACCACGACCCAGTTTCTATAACTTTGTCATCCGGGACACCTGGTAAGATGGCTTTTCATTGGTGTCTAAATGACTCAATCTTGGGTAATCCCTCTCATTGTCGGGAAATCTCCTCACACTTGCAAGCATTTTTTTAAACTCAGTAAAGCAGAGGACACGAACCCGGCGTTTAAGTGGGCAGATCATAATGCCTCGGTCAGGGGATGTTTTATTCAGCTTTCTTCTCGACCTAAAAAAGCTCGAAATGACCTACTTACCACTCAAACTCAAATTTACAATGACCTGGTTGCTCAACATAAGCAAAATCCCAGTCCGGATTTGTTACTTAAACTTGACCAGGCCCGACTGGAACTTAATTTATGTCTTACTACCATTGCTGACAAACAACTTTGTTGGTCTGATCATAAATTCTTTACTTGGAGGGACAGAACTGGCACTTTGTTAGCACGCAGGCTGACTCCCAGGCATTCCCAGGCGGCTCTCCCCAAACTCAGATTGGAAAATGGTTCGCTATCCCAGGACCCTGGTAAGATTCTCCACAAATTTCAGTCTTTTTACACTAAACTTTATATCTCTCCCCAGGGGGGTACTTCTTTATCTATTGACACCTTTTTGGGGTCTGTCTCGCTTCCCCCCCTCCAGTAGGCCCACAGGGAGATGATGGAACGGCCTATATAAGGCAACGAAATCGGGAATGCTGTAAAATCTCTTGCTCCTCATAAGGCCCCAGGACCAGATGGTCTTCCCAATACTTATTATAAAGCTTTCCCTGATATTTTGATGCCCCATATGGCTCTCTATTTTAATTATTTGCGGGATGGGGGTATGGTACTACCGGATGAAAATAGGGCGTTCATCAGTGTCATCTCAAAGATGCCTCTATGGTCTCCAATTATCGGCCAATTTCCTTGATTAATTGCGATTTAAAGATTCTTCTTAAAATCTTGGCCCCATGCCTCCATAAATTTCTGGCCCTATATATTCATGATGACCAGTCTGGTTTCATAAGCGGTCGACAAACATCAGATCAAATTTGTCGGACTCTAGCATTACTGTCAGCTGTGCAGTCCAATTGGGACGGGTCATCACAGACGGAAATTCAACTACTATCACTGGATATTCAGAAAGCGTTTGACAGTCTGTCTTGGGACTACTTGTTTCAGACGTTAGACAAGTTCGGGTTTGGTCCTCATTTTACAAAGCTGTTACGGGCCTTATATTCTAATCCGTCCGCTCAGGTTTCCATTCGTGGATATAAATCAGCCCCTTTTTCGATAGAACGAGGAACTAGACAGGGATGCCCTCTTTCTCCATTATTGCTTGCTTTGGCAATGGAACCACTTGCTATCTGCACTGATCCCACTATCTCGGGCGTCTACTGTGGTCAACAAGATCATAAATGCGCCTTATTCGCTGATGATGTTCTCATGTATATATCTGATCCTCGAACGTCTCTACCTGGTTTCTTCCATTTGTTTCATTGGTTCTCTGAGGCCTCTGGTCTTATGCTTAACTCGTCTAAAATGGTTGCCCTAAATATCTCGTTACCCGATTCGGAGGTTCATTTCCTACAGGAAAATTTTGATTTTCAGTGGGCCTCTGGTTCTCTCCCCTATCTAGGGATTCATCTCACGAAATCTACCTCGACGCTATACAAGACCAACTATCTCTCACTTTTCAAACGACTTAAAAATGACTTACTAGACTGGCAGGATCTTCCACTTTCCTGGTTTGGTAGAATCAACTCTACTAAAATGACCTTTTTACCGAGACTATTGTACTATTTCCGGACGTTACCAAATCAGCCCCTTTTTCGATAGAACGAGGAACTAGACAGGGATGTCCTCTTTCTCCATTATTGCTTGCTTTGGCAATGGAACCACTTGCTATCTGCACTGATCCCACGATCTCGGGCGTCTACTGTGGTCAACAAGATCATAAATGCGCCTTATTCGCTGATGATGTTCTCATGTATATATCTGATCCTCGAACGTCTCTACCTGGTTTCTTCCATTTGTTTCATTGGTTCTCTGAGGCCTCTGGTCTTATGCTTAACTCGTCTAAAACGGTTGCCCTAAATATCTCGTTACCCGATTCGGAGGTTCATTTCCTACAGGAAAATTTTGATTTTCAGTGGGCCTCTGGTTCTCTCCCCTATCTAGGGATTCATCTCACGAAATCTACCTCGACGCTATACAAGACCAACTATCTCTCACTTTTCAAACGACTTAAAAATGACTTACTAGACTGGCAGGATCTTCCACTTTCCTGGTTTGGTAGAATCAACTCTACTAAAATGACCTTTTTACCGAGACTATTGTACTATTTCCGGACGTTACCGATCACGGTCCCCAAAACGGGAACTGTTATTACTGCAAACTGCAGTCTCTAGATTTATATGGAGGGGAAAACGCCCTAGGATTAACAAGTCTACCTTATTCTCCTTGAAGAGGCAGGGCGGTTTGGGACTCCCCAATCTCTTGGCCTACTTTCAGGTGGCTCAAATAGCACAGTTATCATGTACTACGGCCAGGGGGTATGTCCCCCAGTGGGTTGGGATTGAGGCTCTATCGTGCCATCCATATGCTATCGGTACTCATGTGGCTTCCCAGTGGATTGCGTCCTCCTATTTTGTGCCCTACTTTATCTTATTCATTATCGGTGTGGGATAGATGGCGAGCGCGCAAACCTTTCTCCTCTCCACATACCCCATTAGCTCCAGTATTTGGTAATCCTGAGTTTGCTCCGGGTCTATCTCCATCGGTGTTCCAATGGTGGTTGAATAAGGGTTTGTTGCGTATCGGAAACTATTTAGATGGGTTTCGCCCTCGGTCCCTTCAACATTTTTTGACAAAATATCAGATGCCTCCCAGAGAGATAATTTGTTATCGCCAACTTCGATCTTTTATCACTAGCAAACTTAGATTACTCCCAGAACCTTGTGCGCTTACTTCCCTTGAGGTCTCCTGTGGGGCAAGTGGGATGATGTGAGGTCGTTTATCCATTATCTATGCATCCATTGTTGATCCCCTCACTAAATTGTCCTACATGACCCAATGGGAGAGGGATTTAAATAGTTTGTTAGATCTGGATACATGGCAGAATGCGGCTCATACTTTATCAAAGATCTCAATTAACACTGATCTTATTGAATCCAATTATAAAACGCTACTTCGCTGGTATTTGGTTCCTACTCGTCTAGCCAAAATGTACCCCTCAGTATCATCTAGCTGTTTCCGACGCTGTGGTCAGGGGGGTACTATGTTCCACGTTTGGTGGAAATGTCCAGTAGTGAGTAAGTTCTGGATCCGCATGTTTAATTTTATATATTCAGTAACAGGAATTAATATCCGTAGATCACCGGAAGTGGCCTTGTTTCATATACTACCCATTCATGTTCCCAAAAAATCGATTAAACTAATTCTATAGCTCTTGCTGGCGGCTCGTATTACCATAGCCAGAAGTTGGAAAAAATCTTTGATCCCGTTAGACTGGGTAAAACGAAAACTTAATTGGATAATGGTGAACAATAAATTTACAAGTATTGTCGATAACGATGTGTCCAGATTTGAGGGAACTTGGGAGCCTTAGATCAGTTATATTTCTGTATCATGAGAGTCTTACAGCTGAACCCCCCCCCCCCCCTCTTTTTTCTTTGTCCTTTTCCCTTAAGAGTTGTTTCCTCTTTTTTCTCTCTCTTTCTTCCCTCCCTTTCTTCTTTATTGATTGCTGAAACTTGAATATCTTGATGGTATTGGCACTTTCTGGGTATATCACTATAGCCATTGTTAGTCATTTTTTTTGCATGCCTATCTGTGATCTGATCGTGTTCTATATGTTGTTCTGCCGTGTGGGTGCCACTTTAATGCCATCTCGTTTTCTGCTATTGTTTGCTTGTTTCTTAATAAAAATACTGAAATATAATTTAAATTAGTTTTTGATCTCTTTGTCTATCCTATTATGTCTAGATGGATATTTGATGTCCATTGTTTTTCTCCTATGGTTGTGGACGTATAGGTCAATTAGATCTTTGTTAGGTTATATCTATATATCCTTCATTTAACAGGTAAATTGCCCAAAGCTAGCTTTAACCTAATGAATTATGATCTCTTCTTCATATCTTCCATTAAATTTAATTAATTTCTTTTTCGTCTATCCTATTATGCCTAGATGATGTTTGATGCCCATTATATCCTCTACAACTTTTTGGACTTGTAGGCCAATTAAGATCTTTGTTAGGTCATTTTTTACTAGCTCCTTGAGCTTTCACATCTGGATGGTGAGCCACTGAATTCCATATATACATGTATTTGATTAAATACTTTGTATTGGATATATTAACTGCCGCCATGTAAGGTAATGACTGGCGCAAGGCAGTTCTCTCGTTCTGGGAGGACGTCCTCCCATTCCAACCGCTCATGCGTGGCTCCCGGAGCGCGCAGGGCGGTGATCGGCGGTGCGCTGTGTCCCTCGGACACAGCGGATCACGGATCAACGGAAAGAGCGGAAGATGTCGGCTCGGTCATATGATCAGCTGTGTCCAATCACAGCTGATCACATGTAAATAGGGAAATGCCGGTTATCGGCATTTCTCTCCTAACGAGCTGTCACGCTGACAGCACGAAAGGAGAGGAGAGCTGGTATTCGGCTTTACTAAGAGGGGACATGTATACTGATCATCAGGGCACGGATGATCAGTGTCCCCTAATGATCTGTGTAGCCTCAGCAGTGCCACCTGTCAGTGACCATCAGTGACAGTTGTCAGTGCTCATCAATGCCACCTGCCAGTGCCCATCAGTGCCACATCAATGCCACATATCAGTGCCTACCAGTGCACATCGATGCCACATATCAGTGCCCATCTCAGGTGCCTTTCAGTGTTACCTAACAGTGCCACCTATCAAAGCCAGTCAGTGCTACCTATCAGTGCTGCTAGTCAGTGCCGCCTATCAGTGGGCATCAGTGCCGCCTATCAGTGCTGCCTATTAGTGCCACCTAACAGTGCCAATCAGTGCCGCCTATCAGTGCTGCCTATTAGTGCCGCCTATCAGTGCCATATATGAGTGCTGCCTTTCAGTGCCCATCAGTGATGCCTGTCAATGCCCATCAGTGCCACCTACCAGTGCCTCCTCATCAGTGCTCATCAGTGCCACCTATCAGTGTCCATCACTGCAGCCTATCAGTGCCCATCACTGCTGCCTCATTAGCGCACATCAGTGAAGGAAAAAAATCACTTACTTACAAAATTTTATAACAAAAACTAATAATAAACTTTTTTTTTTTCAAAATTTTCAGTGGTTTTTGGTTTGTTTAGCAAAAAATAAAAAACCCAGTGGTGATTAAATACCACCAAAAGAAAGCTCTGTCTCAAAAAATTTAAATTTCACATGGGTACAGTGTTGCATGACCGCGCAATTGTCATTCAAAGTGTGACAACGCTGAAAGCTGAAAATTGGCCTGGGCAGGAAGGGGGTATAAGTGCCCTGTAGGCTAGTGGTTAAAGTTGTTTGGTAATTATATAATTTTCCTTTTGATATACCTTTAGACTGCCTCGGCGGTTGAAATTCCTTCAAAAAATCTTCCCTGGAGAAGCCCATGAGGGCGAAACATGTTAGGTAATTACAATTACCTAACCAAGTTTGAATCTCAGTTTTACCCTTCGTACTGAAATTGTTTTTATGTTTCTGTATTTTTTCCTTTTTTGTGTTTTTTACAAAAATACGAAATAAAAATAATATAACTTTTTAATTTGTTTAGTATTCATGTTCATGCATCCTGAAAGTCCCATCTTCTCTATTGAATATGGGCCTAGTATATGCCTGAGTTTCTGGCCTTAGATTGTAAGCTCCTTGACATTACAGACTATTGTGAATGGACAAAATATGGAGATCAATTTCCAGAACCTGTCAGTGCCAGGAATATTGATCAATCAATTAAGATTTTGGCTACTGACTAGAAAGTGGAAAGGAAGTGAATCTTACCTGCGTCCTGTTCTTTTGACAAGTTTGAAACTTTCAATTTTCCTTCTGTTTATATTTCATTCCAACTTTGTTTCTCTTCTCTTAAACCTCTCTCCTTATACAACTTGACCCCCCCACTGTCATCACCTGTTCCATCTGCAAATCTATGTATCAGCACCCCACTCTTTTTATTTAATTATTTATTTACTGATCAAGTTAATGTGTCTCATTTCCTATCACCTACAGCTCAGATCTAGCATTATTATAAGATTCCTAATTGTATCTCACCACTAGTCTGATTGAATTCACAATTCCTGGTCAGTCCCGTTGCCTTACCTATAATATCCTTTAGGGCCAGTTCACACTACATGTGTTTCAGTTGCTTTTTTCTGCATCCAAATCGCACAGAAAGAAGGTTATATGGTTGTCAATGTCATAGTTCACATCAGCGCTTGCAGTTCCAGTGCGTTGCAGGTGCTGCCAAAAAAAAGTCAAACAGGCTGCATTGTTTATGCATAGAACTGTACTGGAAAGCGGTAAAATGCCCTAGAATACACTAAAACGCACATGTCCCTAATTAAATTAAAGAAAATTGACTGGTAAATTGACTGGAATGCATAAAAAATGCACTGGAAAATGCTAAATATGCATAAAAAAAGTGCATGCAAAAATGCATCTGAAACACATCTAGACTGTGTTTCTATAGTGCGAACTGGCCCTAAGGACTTGTTCACACCATTTGTGGTGCAGAAATGCATGCAAGAGCACGCATTTTCCTGCAGAGCAAAGAAATGCAATGCCCATTGCAGATGTGCGCAGGTACCATGATGAAAACCTAATTGCACCTCCACACGTCTAGTAAACACAGACACATTCACAGCCACCAAAGCACATGGCACCACACTACTGTGTGATTAGGTGCAACACACTTTTAAAATAATATGCCTGCAGTATTTTTGCATGTTCCTACACGTTAGGCAGCCCATTGAAATTAATGAGCTGAGGATAAAAAAGTAAAAAATGCCACTTTTACATAGGTCTTCTGGCCTGTACAGCATAAATGAGTGGGTTGTTCATGTGGCTGGAGCCACCTGCTTCACTATGGGGACACAGCAATTGCATGAACACAGGTTTTAATCTGACAGGTATACAGGTGTGGGAAAGTGGCCCTGAATGCTCACTGTCTGTGTTCAGGGCTGTACACCTGCACCCATATGCTTGTCAAATTAGGACCTGCAGCATTTCCATAGTGTAACATAGGTTGCCTGAAAACGGCTACAGCCACAAAAATAAACCACTGATTCACACTCTACAGGCCACAGCACCCATGTGAATGAGCCCCAAGACCTCAATTACACACACAGCTTTATTTATTAACTCTGTTCAGTTTTATCATTTAGATTTAACAGGAATTTGGTTGGGATTGTGTCCATTAATAATGATTTTAGTGTATTTTTACCATAAATAGAATTTGGATATTTTCTCTGGCGGTGGGAGGCTGTCAGGTAGACGGCATAACAGTGGCCCTGGGTGTATGCTTGTGTCTGTGCCACCTGTATAGTTAGGAAGAATAACTTCTTCTATGGAATACCTTGAACCTCTGCTATGTACCTCAATGTATCTAGGAATCGGACATCTTTTCAACTGAAAATAGAACAATTATTAGTAATGTTTCCCCTGCAAATGAGGATCAGCTTCTTGGTCGAGAACAGCGATCTCACCATGTCCAGATCTGGTCTTGAATTCCACAAAAGAACGATTCAAAAGCCAAAAAATAGCTTTCAAAATTACCACTAAACTCTCCTAACTACACTCCCATCCACTAACACTCCCCAATACCACTTCCAAGTGCGCGCGAACATCCTTCCGCAAACGTGATGATGTATTTCCGGTATGACAACTGCTCTACCTCCTCCCCCAATAGCCGTCTTGGCGTTTATTTATACACCATAGCAATTTTCCACGTGGCTCTATTGTGTACATGACATTATGTTTGCAGCTCTGTTGTAAATTTGGCATTGGCCGGTAAAGGCCCAAAGTCAACATAAATCGGGGGGCCTAATTTATTACTGTTAAGAGGACTGTAGAAAAAGAATAGCTAGCTGCACATTGAAGACAACCTATTCATTGGTACATAACATCGTCTTGTGGTGTAATAGGGGGCTTTTGGTTTGTTAGTTTGGACATACTTGCATATGTGCACTCTAACAAGCTAGATTTGGGCATATTATGTAGATCGCAAAATATAAGTGTTAGGGGTGCTAGTATATTGAACTTGAACATTAAATAACCCCCCAAAAAATACATAGTCCAAACGTTTATTGATCAAATACATATTCCACATTTATTTGGAAAGCAGCAACAAATAGGTACAGTCAACTTCTTGGGGAAAAAAAGCAGGATTGATGTTGCTAAAATAGAACAGTCCTGCTCATAAGAGCTTACAATCTAAAGATTATACTTCTAATGAACTGTGCTTTCACAGGTTACAGCAGGAAACAACGGTTAATATGAATCAAGCAACATTTTCAGGGCCATAAAATTAACACACACCAGCACTTATCCACAAAACAGGCTCCAGATCAAAATATCAATATAAAAATGCATAAAGTACAAAAAACAACAAACACCTCTCACGTCCCCAAATCCCCCACACACACATTTCTCATCAGGTTTGTCCTAAAACTGGATTTCAGTCTAAATAAGCAAGCAAACTATTGCCAAGTGCAGATTTGGAAGAGCAGAGCAATTGACTTGTGTTAGGATTACAATGCAAAGATAATAAACACACAATCTTTGTACAATAACACACAAATACACTTTAAAAGGAAAAAAATGCAAAACATTTTCTGCCCACATCAAAACACAGTGGGGTCTGGGGCAATTCAGCACAATATCTCTTCTTCCCCCCCCCCCCCCCCCCCCAAGCCACCACAGGCAAGGACTTGCTGAAAATAACATGGCCTATTACCGGACAAAACCGTCCACTACTGCAGGTAACATAGGTTGAATTTGGAGCACACCAAACAAGACCCCACCCCCAATGAAGGCCACACCCACCACTGTCATTCATTTGGTCCGGGAAAGTGATTGCACCTGATTATCAGGCACCAATCCTCTTCCCACCTGCGTTAACCCTTGGTATCAGGGGCGGACTGACAACTCAAGGGGCCCCCGGGCAATTGGGGATCATGGGGCCCCTGTGTCCTTGCCCACACTCAAAACACACCCAAAAAAGCCTATAAAAAGGTACCAGGGGCATTTTATGGGGCCCCCTACTGACCCCGGGCCCTCGGGCAGTGCCAGAGTGCTCGAATGGTCAGTCCGCCCCTGCTTGGTATACAAGCCCCACAAATCAGTGTCAGAAAGAAAGCAACAGTGAAGTGTACCTGTGCAGCATACAACAGAAAATTGAACAGGGATGTGAAGGGAACCCCATGGCAACATTTATTGGCACTATGTGCACAATTCACTCAAGCTTATCGCATGAGTTAAGGCAGTCACATGACCACATCTTGCATGCAATACTTAAAATGTCAATTCACTTTTGCTAGTATGCAGGATTTCCCATATCATACATAAAAAAAGACCTTACACCTTGGTCACATCAAAGCCGATTTGGAAATCATGTGACTTACAGTGAAGTTGCCGATTTCCTTGTGATTTGCAAGACATCTGACACAGATGTCTATGCAAATTGCCACAAAAGTAGTACATGTACAACTTTAGAAATCGGTGTCAGAAACGCACCCATGTGACCGATATAATAGCGGACAATAGGGTGCGATTTGGCATACGATTTGCAAGTCGCATGTCATGCAAATTGCATGCCAAGTCGCACTCAATGTGACCGCTATTAGAGTGTTCATATTGGTGTGGTTAAAACTTGGTCGGAGCCGCAACGATTTATAAAGTAGTGAATACACTACTTTTGGTGCTCTGTCTCATGATGTCTTGCAAATCGCACTTGAAATCGGCATGTCCCCCGACTTTGAAATCATGTGACTTCACTGTAAGTCACGTTTTAAAAGTTTGGCTTGATGTGACCGTGGTGTCGCACGATTTCAAAATCCACTTTGATGTGACTGGGGTGGCCCCCAGTCACATCGGGTGCGATTTGGCATGCGAGTTGCATGCCAGGTGACTTGCAAATCGTAGGCCAAGTCACAACCTATTGTTCGCTATAGGCTGCGTTCACATGCAATCTGATTTTGAAATCGTCCGACCTCACTGTAATTTGCCCAATTTCCAAATCGGATT